TGAAGAACCCAGAGAGGGTTATTTGGTTATTGTTTATTTCATAAATAGTGTTATTTACTTCCTGAATTTTGTTCTGTGAAGAACCCAGAGAGGGTTATTTGATTGTGCTTTCTGGAAAACAATACATTTTTACGTTTAGGCACTCCTGCAATCGTCACACTTTTTCTGTTACAAACTGACTCCGGCCCTCCACCAGAGAAGGGAAAAGTTATGTGGCCCTCACAGGAAAAAGTTTGGGGACCCCTGCTCTAACATAATTATTGAATCAAGTGTTTACTTATGGAGGTAAACGTAGATGTTTAACAACCAGTTAAAATACACCAGAATGCAAGCAATGGCATCTATGTTATACAAATTTTTCTGGGGAAGGATCCCCAGACCCCCTCCCACCAGTGTGTTCCCCCACAAATTACAAATGCTTCTGACGCCAATGGGCACAAAAGAGGCCCATGGCCGAGCAGTGGGACACAGGCCCCTTAAAAGTCTTGTCCAGGCCAAAAATTTTAAGAAATGAGTTTTTATCCTGATGCATGCTCAATAATCCAGGTAGAAAAATCCCAAAAAATTCAATCTGGTCCTCTGGACATTCAAAAAAACAAAACAAAGCAAAAAAATGTAGATACAGTACGTTTCATCTTTCATCCGAGAGACTTCCTCAGTCTGAGGTGCTGTATTCAGCTCAGTCTCTTAAATAGCACCTTCTCAGAGTGGATAAACCAGTTTGCTGCTGACAACCAAAACCAGCTGATCACATGGTCAAGAAGGACCATCAGCCTAACAATGGATCATTAGCACACTGATGGCTATTTACTATTCACAGGGAGTTGAGTGATACCAGCAATCACAGCATTGTAAGAGGGGGACAGTTGAACCCGGAGACCTCCCCCTGTTTAATGACGGACGGTTTCTTTTCACAAAGATGGCCTCCTTTACTCCTCTTTCAAACCATTGTTCCTCTCTGTCCAGGATGTGCACATCTTCCTCCCTGAAAGAGTGACTGCTGGCCTGGAGATGAGTGTAGACCACAGAGTCCTGGCCTGATGATGTTGATGTTCTGTGCTGGGCCATCCTTTTGGATAGTGGCTGTTTAGTTTACCCAATTTCCCCGATCACAGCCCTCCTGACACTGAACAGCATACACAATATTACTCTGTTTGTGCCGGGGGACTGGATCTTTGGGATGAACCAGTCTTTGCCGTAATATATTTTGGGTTTTAAAAGCCACTGGGATGTTATGTTTGGAAAATAAACGTCTCAGTATCTCTGATACTCCCTCAACATACGGAATGACCACTGGTCTGGGTCTGGGTTCCTCCTTTTCACCTGCTGGCTGACTGGAGTCCTGTTTGGGTTTCTTCTCTGCTTTCAGGAAGGTCCAGTTAGGATATCCACATTGCTCTAGAGCCTGTCTCATGTGGGATTTCTCCTTCTGTCTGGCTCCTGAGTTAGTGGGGATGCTGTCTGCTCTGTGATACAGAGTCCTGATGACTCCTAACTTGTGCTCCAAAGGGTGATGGGAGTCAAACTGCAAATACTGGTCTGTGTGGGTGGGTTTGCGGTACACCTCGGTTTGCAAATGTCCTCTATCAGAGACTGAGACCTTACAGTCCAAGAAAGCCAACCTGCCATTTTTTACATCTTCTCGTGTGAACTTGATGTATTTATCCACAGAGTTGATGTGGTCAGTAAAATGTTGGACTTCCTGAGATTTAATTTTAACCCAGGTGTCGTCAACATACCTGAACCAATGACTTGGTGGTGTCCCTGAAAAGGACGTCAAGGCTCTCGTTTCTATCTCCTCCATGTACAGGTTGGCAACAATAGGAGAAACTGGACACCCCATAGCACACCCATGTTTCTGCCTGTAATATTGCTCCCCATATGTGAAGTAGGTTGACTGCAGGCACAGTTTCAAGAGTTGACACAATTTTTCTGTGGAAAGCGTGGTCCTGCTGCTCAGAGTGGTGTCTGATTTTAATCTTAAACTGACCACCTCTACTGCATCATCAACAGGAATGTACGTAAAGAGTGATGTGACATCAAATGAGACCATTGTTTCATCAGTCTCCATGATGACATCCCTTACCTTATCCACAAAGTCCATGGTGTTCTGTATGTGATGTTCTGAGTTGCTAACTAAAGGGATGAGTACAGACGCCAGATATTTGGAAACATTGTAAGTGACAGAGTTAATCATGCTAACAATTGGTCTTAAAGGTACACCTTGTTTGTGGATTTTAGGTAAACCATACAGACTAGGTGTGGCCTCCCCTGGGTACAGTCTGTGGTACAGAATACGGTCAATAGCCTTGTCCTGCTCCAAATTTTTCACGCAATCTATCAATTTCTTCTTGTAACCACTTCCTGGATCTCTTTTCAGAGGTTCATAAGTGGTTAAGTCACTAAGGAGTGTCATAACTTTAAGAGTTCAACATCACTGTGCACCTTCCTTTGTCTGCTGGGAGAATGATGATGTTTTTGTCCTTGCTAAGAGTGGTGAGTGCATCCCTCTCCTCTCTACTGATGTTGGAAGGTGGTGGTTTGGCATTGCTGAGGCAGGCTGAAACTTTGATTCTGAGTTGTTCTGCTTCACCCTCTTTCATTTTGTTGTTGCGGATGGCTGATTCTGTGGCTGTGATCATCTCCACCAGAGGAAGTCTACTTGGTGCAACCGCAAAGTTCAGTCCCCTGGCAAGAATCTCTGTCTCCAGCTGGGTGAGCTGTCTGTCAGATAAATTCTTCACCAACTTTTCTGTCTCCCTGGCATGTAATTGACTACTGGAGTGTCGTCCTACACTGAATGTGTTGTTATTGGAATTGTGATGAGTTTTTACCATTAGTAAAATGCTCTGCTGTATGTGGCTTGTTGTTATTGTTGTTTGTTTATTATTTATGTTTTGGTTGACACTATCTTTACTATTTATGTCCTTATTAAATTAGGATATGTCTATATAGTAAATGTCTTTTACTTTTCTTCTTGGAATGTACCAGAATGCTTAATTTACATATTAATAATCACAAAATTTTTGGGGTGGGGGGGGGAGGTCTAGATTCGTTACCTTTTCATCCCATACAAAGCCATACAAGAGGGCGTTCGAGCTCTTTTTCAAGAAACCTAGAAGGACAAAATGCTCTCAGCCAGGCAGCAAACTGTGCCATTAGAGTACTAAAGCTGTCATTTCACTTGTACAGTGTGAATATATTGAATAAATGTTGTTAAAAAACATTGAGTTTGAAATGTTCATAATTAAAATGATGATGTTGCTCTCTACAGTTGTATTACCAGCGTCGAGTTCAACAATCCCCCCCCACCCCCCCCACACACACACACAAACAGGCAGCCCACCACCCTGGTTCAAATAAATCCTAGTGCACAAAAGATATCCTCAAAACCTGACAGATTTTGAGAACTTTAGCAAGAATGAGCGGAAAAATGGTATAAGTGAATGGATGGCCTGCAGATAAGATCCCTTCTTAAGAAAACTACAGACTGCTATTAAATCAGAAGGTGCTCCGACAAGCTATGAGTTTCAGGGTGTGCACAAATTCTAACCAGCCTATTTTTTTTAGTTGTTTTGTATTTGCTGTTGCAGATTTTTCTTCTAGTTGAATTGACCAGAATGATGATAAAAGGTGGAAAAAGTTTCTGGTTTCATGTTTCAATCCCAACAACTTGGGATTTTGACAAGCGTGCAGATATTTTATTATCCACTTAAAATTAACTTAAATATTTTATCAAGTGGTGCTAGAGTCTAAAATGTACTTGACATGGGTCTAGGCTTATACACGTATTTTTAGTGATCACGGTTGACTGCAGCAGCGACCTCACAGATATGTGGAAAAATGTGTGCACTGTGCAGTATAACTATCTGTATGAATATGTGCAGTGTAACTATCTGTATGAAAATGTGCAGTGTAACTATCTGTTTGAATATGTGAAGTGTAACTATCTGTATGAATATGTGCAGTGTAACTATCTGTATGAATATGTGCAGTGTAACTATCTGTATGAATATGTGCAGTGTAACTATCTGTATGAATATGTGCAGTGTAAATACCTGTATGAATATGTGCAGTGTAACAATCTGTATGAAAATGTGCAGTGTAACTATCTGTATGAATATGTGAAGTGTAACTATCTGTATGAATATGTGCAGTGTAACTATCTGTATGAA